TATGCAAGTGGTTCTTTTCTGCAAAACACTTTCACAAAATTTCATCATAATGCTTTGATTTTACGGCTACAATGGTTTCCGACTGAAACCAAGTGCGATATTGCCGCGAAGCGAAACAAAAATCCCAGTGTAGTTATGCACACAAAGCAAACGAAGTCAAACAAAAAGAAGGCTAAAGCTCTGAACACATCACAAGAATAAAACCAAACACATATCTGCTCCTTTGTAGGATTGTCCGACACTCTTTTTTGATGCTGCAACATGAATTTAGAAAAACGACTCCTCCAAACGGGTTTTTAAACATAAGATTTCATTGCTCAGTAGCTCTACAAGGTTCATGGGAGCAGTGAATGCGCTGTAAGTATAACTGGCAAGCCGTCGCTGTGGTAAGGCCAGTAACATTTGAAACGCACTACACAGGTTTCCTTTCTTGTTTTTATTCCAGGAAGCACTTGAACTACGGAAGGAATAGATAAAATGAGGCTCAAAATAGTGATTAAGGGACTTCGAGAACGAATCAATTTTGAGCCACACAATCCTGGGGCTAGGAAATGGAAAATGTGGTCTAAATCTAACCAGTCAACTACCATCTGACTTCATTGATGCTGCAGCAGGTAAGTGAGAAGATTTGGTAGGCAGAGGACACAGAAGCCAAGATTTAAAACTGAAGGCTAACCGCTGACGCCCCCAATAGTAACATGAGCCGTCATCTCCCCTAAACGGAATTACTCCATATTCTAGAAACCCACCCACGAGTTTCCAGCTTTCCAAAGCCATGTATATGCGAAAACTACCTCATCACGTGTGTTGGACAACCATATGGTGGTGCGCATCTCCCAAATGTGAAAACTGATGGCATTATTTCCCGAAACTTTGAAACTACCTACACCTGATGGCTCTCGATTAACCCGACCGCCCAATTGGCCTGACGTTTGGTTCTTTTCAGGCACCATTATCCAGGAAGTGTCTCCCTTGCTTCCACATCTGCCTCTGGAGCCCGCAACTAGACTTCGTGTAAAGGTCCGGAAGACCAAGTGACAGGTGCCTGAAGGTTGGCCAACATAAGTTTTTTTCCATCCACGTTCTGTTCTTCCACCGTTGTTACAACCGTTTCCTCTACTGCTTTCGTTAGGATCAGCTCCTTTTTTAACACCGGTTCGTCCAGAAATATAGGTCCAAGGCGCTGACACGTATAACGAAGTCCCTTACTAATGGGGAAAATATCATTCTTCCCGACATTTCTGTGACTTCCAACCTTCGAGAGATACTTCTTTCTATGGTCAGCAAATCCCCCCATCATTGCAATGAGGATCAAGGATTGTGGTATTATTAATTAATTATTCTGCTTTTTTCGACGCCTAAATCCCTGTGGTCACCCTGCGCTTTATCCCCAACCCAGAAGGTTTTTGTTTCATGTGCCTTTACACCTATATCAGCGCTATTAACGCAGTGCCAGCTGTTCTGCCTCATCCGAACTTAGATGCAACATGCTGTTTACTTTAGTAGAAACTTCCACTTTGGGGATGTTCAGGCGAGGCGATCCCCCAATATTGTACGCAAACCTCATGTCTAACCACCCTTGGTATGCTCCTTTCCCCATACGGCTAAGCAAAATAATATTTTAGAGATACGCCACTGCCGTTTTACCGTGGAAATAGAGTCAAATGTGAAGGTATCATGAATAATTACCGGGAATGCGGAAAGCTGTCTGCACATCTATAACCTCGTGGAGCTGTTTCAGGCCTCATAAAGCCATCAGCCTCCTCAAAGGCAGTGCGAAAAGTGTCACACGAAACATAAAAGAGACTGATGCTGCAATCATACCAACCCCAGAGAAACCAGCACCAGCCGAACTCTTGTATCTCCCATTCTTCCGCAGAAAACCACGAGTCGGGGGAAATTTTGGCACCTTCGGAATCTGTATTGACAAGCGGCTAGGAGGCTGCAAACATTTGGTTGATGGCAGGCGAGCAAAACAGGAAGCCGTACGCCAAGCGTACTAGAAGAGCGTGTGTGCCCACTATCATAAAGCAAAGTCACGCGAAAGCCGAATCCCCCATTCTGCTAAATGCCGACGCGTTGACAGATTCACTGCTGGTAAAGAGGAAATAATTCGATAACCAAACATATGTCAACTGCTACCAAACTCTAGGGCTTCCTCTATCTCCGTGAAGCCATCTTCTTCCTGGAGTCTCAGCTGAACACCTTCGGACAAGTCAGTGGTTCTTAGAGCCTCGATGAATTGTCCCAAGGCAAGTCCTTCTCTGTCAACACGTGAAAAGCCCGGGCCGAGTCTGACATACTATGATGGTAGGAGGAGAACGCCCTCGTCGATGATCCGGATAGTGGAAGCGGGAAGGTTGCCCACGGTATTTCAAGGATGCCCATTAATAGCTCTGATAAAGAGCAATACACTTCACCTAAAGTATATCCCCACCCCCGAAATAATCACCATCCGATCAGACTCACACACATGACTCACAAGGGCTTGAAAGCCTTGCAGAAGGTTAACCTCAGTATGAGGCTCCACCCAACTGTGTCAGAGCAGATGGAGGCCTGTTAGGCAAAAGGTAGGTGGTGGCCACCAAACCCCCCCCCCAGCCAACGGGTTCCACTGAAGGACGAACTCCTCTGCTAAGTATCTTAGTCGCTGTGACTTCTCGGAACCCCAGAAAGTATCCGGCTGAAAGCACCCTGAGGGAAAACTTCCTTTTCTTTGTGGTACGTGCTTTATGGAATACTTTACCACGAAATGTAGTCACAGCCCTCGCAGCAAAACCAGTTAAAAGAGGGTTGAATGGCTCTTTCTGCTCTTCCAGCAACCTGCCCAAAGAAATACTGACCTCACTAACCGGTGTTCAGCTCGTCGAAACCCTCAATCGCCAAAACTTCTCCGATACACTAAATACTGGCTCTGACCACAAAGGAATGTCGGTAACAGAATTCCACCTTACATTCCGTTCATTTGCCATCATTACTAAACCATTTCTGGTGGTTTTCAAATGGTACGTGCGTCCATATCTGTCAGTGCCCAAAACGGTAGCACCTCTAGCACTCGGAAGACACTCCGGTGTCTTTGAGGAAGTATCAAGACCCAAAGTGAGAATAGTTGCTGGACTAGGGGAAAAACACGTGCCTACAAAGTGGGGCACGTTTTAACATGACAGATAGACAGAAAGAGGGTGACCTTATTGTGACGTAATTCAAAACATACTTACATAAATAAATATACATATATTGCTCTCACATTAGTAATTTAACACGAGGTGATCCAGTTTACATGCACCACCACATTGATATATATTGAAAAGTCTACTAGATTTTACAGGTCTTGAGTAGTACAGAAGTGAGGTAACTAAACGCCATCGCAAACATCTAAAGATACCGCTTGTTATGAAGCGAACAAGGAAATGTCACCTTCCAGCACGTCTTGAGCGTTAAAACCAAGAAAACAATAATTCTTATTCTCATATAATGGATTTGCCAAGACAGACGCCAGTTTACAAGCCTCGTCGGTACGACCAACCGTTACTGAACACTTAGTACAACCACTATCACTGAGAACTTGGATTAACCTTATACCTTCCTGTAGACCTCCCCTCCAGCTACCGTCATCTACTAAGAGAATTACTATATTCCTATTCGTCCTATCATGTTATTTACTCTTCTTACTTCTGACTCTACGTTCTCGAACTTTAACAAAGGCTCTCCCTATCGCCTATTCCCCATGAACCTACCAATGTTTTATTCTTCCGTGCCGCTTCCTTTCTCCTAATCCTTTTTTATATTTCATTTTTCTTCCTCTTTTCCTTTTCCTTTTCTATTTTGTCTCTCTTTGCACTTTCTCCCCCTTGATTTCTCTGCACATATTTTCCATCTCCTTTTTACAACCAGTCCAACCAATTGTCTGCTGGCACAACATTTGAGGAACCCATCCGCACCACAGTCCTCGGAAGAAAAAGCAAACAAACAAACAACACTCCCTACAAATCTAACCAACACCCAACCACCCATCGGGCTAACCAGAGATACAGCAATCGAGTGGGTGGACCTACTACATTGGAATCCACCAAAGACCCGGGACCGTTCGGCAAGACCTAGAAGCGAGCGCGAAGAAATCAGTTGGTTTACACTAGCTCGTTGAAAGATATTGGATATTGGAATACTCGGGATGACTGAACGTTTCAGCCCTTCTAACGACACAGAAGCAGGTAGATTGGGAAGCTGGACACGTATGGCAGGATATGAACACTCATTGGAAATTCATAGTTGACAAAATTGTGTGTGCCATCAGTAAGCCTGTTCTACTCTCAACTCCAAACTGCTCAAAGAGTCCCAAGGTAACAGGCAACTATAAGTGTGGGCTACTCAGATTAAAAATGCAACAAAATGCTGATTATAAGAGGACCATTAACGAACACACAAGCGGACTATTTAGACAGACGATACACACATGCGCGAGGTAATTGAGAGGCAGTCGGCAATATCGTCAAGTTAGGCCGACAAACTTGCGTGAATCTAATCAGAGAGGTCTGTTCCACCAGGCTGTACGATTCCGACAGATCAGAGTGGAAGTCATTCAATTAGTAGCAACGAATGTGCTTAAAAGCAGAGACATGGAATTAACTTAACATCTGGCTGATCGGTAGTTGCAAATTCTTCCGTCAACTAGCACCTACTCATGGGATTATAAATGTCCCAGTAACAACGGAGGACTACCGATCGTTGGCTTAGTTAAGTTACGAGCTGCTACTGACCATAAAGTCACCTCCCCGAGAACAAAAAAATACAAACGTCAGGTCTGCGGAAAGAACTGCCAAATACAGCCGAACACCGGGGCGGAGAACTAGGGTCTCTTCCTGTTCTAATATACGTAGACGGCATGCATGAACAGAACTCTCCTGAAATCCTCATTTTAGTCTGTGATATGAAATTAGAAGTCAGGAGGATCGTGTTTCCCTACAGTAGGACTAAACCCGTATTCAAAAATGGACGATGAACTGAAACTTAACTGTGAAAAGTGGAAGGATGAAAGTTTTAGACTTGGCGGGTGAATTAACAACACAGTCTAAGCGGCATCGTATCGTTTGTCAGTTATCGCTTATTATTAAGTGTAAGCACATCTTTTGTACTTGCTTAGTCGTCGGCTGACGTTTTTCTTCCTTTTCCCACTTCCAGATTCTCATCAATAAACTCACACCCCCTGCAACAACGTGCGAACCTACGTACAGCTGGTCGTTACAACTATCTGTCGTGACGAGAGCTTGTCCTTTCTTCATTGTCGTTGTTTCAAGTGATGAGGTATGCTAGCATTGCTAATTGACCTTTTAAAAGCCTGTCTTCAAAGTTATACTGTCTGCGCTGCCTCACCGGCCCGATTGGTTTTGCACCCATTTCCAGATCTTCCTTAGGCTTATTGCGACCAGCACTTATTATTCGTTCAACCAAAGCAGCCAAAGGTAGCACCAGCGGACAAGTTCGTAAGCAAGCTGAAAAGGAGATGCAATCTTTCTGGGAAAAGAATATTTCTGCTGAGCGACCATGGTCCCCCCACCTTCAAGTTTACTCAGCGCCATTGGTTATGAGATTCTCATTTCTCCATCGAGCGACTGGTATTGCCATGTCTGTTGGTAAGTATTGTTAAATAGGACTTCGATAGTGAAGCGAGACTTAAGTCTTGTCAAGCAAAAGCTGATGATTTTGTAAATGAAAATTTACTTACTTAGGGAATGTAGAGCCGTATTTCCAGATGCAGCGTCAAGATTAGATCAACTGTCAACTATCCCATCGGCATTGGGCTAACACTGGGTGATGCGCTGTGCACAGGGTCAGTGGGCCACTTAGTTAACCTACGGCTAGTTTCGGCATGCGTAAGTAGTAAATGCAAGGTATCCAGCTCATATTTTACTGTCACAGTGTATCAGTTATTATCCATACCAGTAAGATAGCTTGTAGTTTACCGACTGCAATCACATGTCAGAGTATGCTATTTTGTGCGACAATGTGATATACTATAAGTTTTCCGTGTATTAAACTTCCTTAGGACCTAAGATCACTCCAGAAAATGTCGAAGCTAGCCTAAAGCTAAAAAGTTAACTAGGTGGCTATGACAAAAAGAACTTTATACGTTCGCACTTCTGGATTTGCTAATTATAAGTACCTGGTAGTCAACGACGAATTAGGAAGTTAGTGATTAGCTGCATTGAAGCATCTTAAGAAGGGGATGCACAAATTGACATTTAATTCTCCAAATCAATAGAATAATTCCCCAGTAAATACTCTGAAGGATATGTAAGTAGATGACTGATTTTTACAGGCAACGTATTAAATATCGAAAACTTCGATTATGGATCAGGCTTACTTTAGCTTAGTTTACGGTTGATTTTGACCATAAAGGCTTTGTGGGCTAGACACGGACAGTAGTTTTGGGATGCGCAGTCTATTGGTAAAAATGCATCAATAACCTACGTGCCTATATTATTCGAATTCAGTTTTGTCATAATTTTGTCTTCCTTGGGTATTGTGATTAGTGTGGTGCATACAATACAGGGCTTCTCGGTTGGTCGGATTGGCTGTATGCTCAATATTTGCTAGTTCTGGGTCTCTAACACGGAAGTTGGGTAAGCTTTAACCCAGATGTTGCAAAACAGTATGTCGACCCTGGGTGTTCACCATAAGAATCATGATGGATTGGTCTTAAAAGTTACTGATTTCGAACTAAATATTTGTAGTTCAAAATACTGAAGATTAGTTCAAAGTTGTCAGTTTTGAGTTGAAGTATACGAGTCATTCTAGAAATTTGTCATTGAAATCACCCGTAAGAAAATAAGAGAGCATATTTCATGTAGTTTAAAAATATCAGGAGATGTCAAATTTGACGTAAAAAAAGTAACGAGTGTACTCACTAGAACAGTTTAGAGAATCTACCACCCTCAGAGAATTTATTTTCCATGGTGGGATTCGGAAGAAAACAATACGGTTAACATAAGCACTTTAGACAGCCTAGTGTCTGTAATGGTTCCAGCACTGTAGGGATGTTACAGTTCGGTAGATGAACGGAGTAATCAGATTGTCAGGGGAGTTTGGTGTGATCCACGTAAATACAAACCACCAAATTAGGTGTGGGAAATTAAGATATACAGTATTATTTTGATAAAACTATTGGTTAAAAAATATGCAGCGAAAGTGCAGTCGCAATCATCTAGGATTTCCTTGCCTGGCAGTACCGTGCATGTTCTTAGTTATTTTTACCGAGCTGTGGCCAGGTGAATAATGACAGCTATGCGTTTTTCGGAACTCCTATTAACTGAGTACGTACAAAATGAGGCCATGGTTTCGAGTAATTCATCCGGAACAGATGCCAAGTTGGCATATGGCGAAAATTCCCTGGGGTGGATGTATCTCAGTTTCCCCAGGTTATCTGTACGTGTACGTGTACGAGTTCAGTGAGGAAAAAAAATGAGTATCGACCAGAAAAGCAACAACTGGCAAGCTGTGCCGAAATCGTTACTGTTTTCTTGGAGTTGTTCAGAAGGGGATAGTAACCAACGAAACCTCACCTTCACCTTCGTAGATATCTCTCATCTAAGTGCATCAATTTTCTTTTCGTTTTGTGTCCCGGCTGTGTTATGCATTGTATTCTTCTCCCATAGTTACTATCTTCACTGACTTTACATTCTGTATTATAGCTTTAAAATTCTCTAATTCTGATATTTTCTGTTCACTTTTACCTGTTTCATCTAACTTCACTATACATGCCTGTTCTGTTCCATTTTATTGTCTGGGAAACACTTTTCAAAAATTTTGTCGTCAATTTTAGAAAAGCATGTATCACATATTGGATCTCAGCATGCTTTATTCAACTTCCTAGTAGTCGTAGCATGGTGTGCGGAGTATTAGCGACCGAAAAATAATTCATTGAAACATTGCTAAGTCTGTTATATTTTTAAAATCAGTTTTGACAAGTGTTTGCTTGTAAATAAACGGTCCAAAACATCGAGCTAAATTGTCTGGGTCATAACGGAGTGGGTGAACCAAAAACGTATTATCCTAATATTGGCTGAACCCATACTAATTTTGTGGTTATTAAAGTGGATAGGAAAATACCATAAATTACTGTATAGTTGTGTAAAAAGTAGATTCGAGCACCACTGGGACAGCTGAAAGTTGATAACTACCCCTTCGTGAATATTCAAATCTGGGTTGGATTCCTGTGGTTTCTGCAGCGTTTACAAACTGAAGTCAAGCTGTCTTACCTCTTCAGGTTTGTAAAGTTTTAAGGTTCTTTGTTTACACTACCCTTGGTTAGCTGGTACTACTAAACCAGTGCGGACACTGAAGCTGAATTTTTGGAACAAGTCCAGAAACCTGTGGTACATTCGATGTACTTACTTTTTCACGTGCATACGGAATGCAGCTAAATGCCTATACCTACATACTAGGGTTTGTTCAGTGCATTGTACAACATAGCACACTGAAGCCTACTCAGCGACCATGTTAATCTGAGTTATTTCATTCTTTAGCCTTCTATTAATTTCCTTAGCAAAGTCATCGCGTTTTACGTCATCTTGACAAAGTAGGCCTCTTGCCCGCATTGCTGCTCTTCTTAATTTTACCTATGTCTTGCTTTTAAATAAAATCCAGTGGGTATTCACTGCTACTCTGACAGATTTTATCCCAGTTTTTAAGAGTAATTCCTTTCAAATGTGCTTTTATTGACTGCCTAGAGCTGCCCAATCAGTCATTCGGTACTAAATCTGGTTATTCAAATCGGTCTAGTTTGATCTGGTTCCACTTTAAGAAATTATTTCTTGTCAGTATTTTGTACTCGTATGCTTAAATATCAAAATATTTTATTGAGCTTACTAAGACCGTACATGTAAGGTATGTTTGTTTTTCCATCCACTGCTTAGGTCTTTTGGAATGTATCTGATGAGAACTTGTGCAATATGATAAATTCTTACGTCATACAACACTTCGATTACATTCAAATTTATTAAGAGAACAAAATGTCCAAGCATTTTCTCTTTTCTACCTCGGAGTATTTCGTTTTAGTTACCAGTAGCCTGTTATCGTTATAATGAAAAGAAGAATATGAAGTTGGTTGATAATCGCGAGAAAATGCCTCTTTATTCACAAATCTCGACCTTATTTTTGATGTAATATCTCTCTTTTGGACCTTGCTAATATTATTTTCCTAACCTACTCAATTCGCTGGTTTCTATGTCTCCTCAAGTTTGGTCGTCTGTGGGGATCGCTGCTTTCTTTTTCACTGGCCACTATGGTGCCGTGCTTGATTACATTAAGAACATGCATCTGGGTACTGCCGTCACAACTGCATGCAAATTCCTCTTGTGCTACCCGTTGGTGTATCACTATTTAAATGGAATGCGACATTTGGTAAGCATTCATTGCATTTTAATTTTCCGCTACCTTTTCATTTTTATATGACTGTATTTTTCTACAGAAATTGGATGACTTCTTTTCTTGATAGCCAGATACTAGAGAAATAGTGCATTGAAATCGTTTAGTGAATAGTTACATTCAAATGTTCAGGTGGAAAATATGCTTTCTTGTTTTGACTGGTTGATGAATATATAAGTAGACGTAGTGGATGACCCTGAGGATATGTTCTACATGTGAATTTATATGTGGTATTCTTTGATTTGCCACCAAGTAGCCTGACTACTGTAGCCTTGGTAACGTAATATTTCTTAAGTTTTAGTGATTTGTTCTTCATTATGGTAAAAGGGCTCACCACCGAAAGCCATTAGGATATGATTGTTTTTTATATTGAGAGCAACTTGGAACACATTTGATGTGTGCAAGTGATTTAAGCCCATTTGCCATTTATCTGCTTTGTTGATGTACAACCCAGTGAAAACTATTCAGGGTGTGTTAAACAGGATCAGTCTTTTAGGGTCATTATTTTGACTCCTATTGATAATTTGGCAACTTTTCTCTGCAACTCTGATGGGATGATTTTTCCGACTTAATTGTTTTTATCCCTAGTCGGCTGCTGATTGTCTACTTGCCTTCGGTGATTAGTCCCACGTATGATGCAGGTTGAACTGCATCATTATTATCATATTCATCGTCCTAGGTGACTATTCATAGATGAGGGATGCATTTAACACTGGTGGATAGAAGTGGTGTCGATGATCTTCAGAATAGTTTAGCACGTTTTGGTGATTGCCGAAGTTTTGTCTAGCGTACATGCTGAGGTGAACTTATTGAACGTCGTATTTGTTGTTTGAACTTTCGTCAACACTTATTGTCAGATTACCAAACAAACATCACTGCAGTCCCACTGCACATAGCCCAGATGCTTTGACAATCAGGTGTTGCTTACGATTCTTCAGCTACACTCAGCGACCCTGTGCACATTCGTATAATGGGCAACGAGCCACACATAATGTATGAGGTTAATCATACCACCTGGTTGCCTAAACCTCGGTAGGTGGGGCGGTGTTCGAATCCGTGACCCATTGGTTGAAAGTCAACTCCCTAAACCAGTGAGCCGTGACTCAGCTGCAATTCAGAAATAATATCAAGTTCAAAAAAGCAACACTGTACACGCTGCTTCATAATCTTTAGAAAAGTTATTTCATGGATTTTTAATTCAGTGTTGGTAGGTTTCCGACGTGATCTGCTTACTATTTATTCTCAATAACCGGTCGGATACCAACTAATATTTTTGCGCATACACATATACGTACTTCTTCTGCGTTCAGAATTCGAACCTAGATGGGTGGTCTATCGACGCTTCTGCCATGCATAAGTTACGAGACCGTTCGGTCTAACCTTGTAGATAAAGTTGAACAAAGATTTCAGGAAGGCTTTGCAACCTGAATTGACTATACGCTCAAATGTTTAACTGTTAATCATAATCACTGCTGCACGATCACCTATAAGAACCGTCTTATCAGGTCTGTAAAAACTTCATTTTCGCTGAACTTTGGACTATTTTCTCTGATCACAATGTGTGAATGTGTTAACGATAAGCTACCACTTCGGATCACACCTCTGTAAGGGTCGAAGTTTACTTTACGCAGTTAGAATATAGCGTGCATGCCTGAACATTGTCCTTCATGTCTATTGAGAGTCCCAGGGAAATCTGTTAACAGTTTATCACTTGGGTCAATAGTCAATTAAGGTCACAGCTTCACTTGAATCCTTGTTTAAAATTACACAAGGTAAACAGGAGCAGTTCGTACAGAAAATAGATTCATAGCTTGGGCATAATAGAAGGGTTGAAAACGCATCATTTCAAACGTGAGCTCTAGGGACAGAGTGAATGTTTCCAGTCTATTTTTACTGTGACCTAAATCCCCCTTCCACTTTTCAAGTGGTCATTAATTAGTTCAAAAATGTTATTTCCTGTAGGATCGTCTTTTTCTTCATTTTTTCCTCTGTCAGATAGGCACTTTATCGCTTGACTTTACGTCTTCGAACGATTTCCATCTCTTCAAGCTATTTACGTTTCGCAATACTTTTATTACATTTGTTATCAAGTGTTTTTTTGTTTTTATAAACAACTGTCGAGTCAACTCTTGAACGATACATTACTGACAAACTCACTTTATTGAATAATAATAGACACTTATTTATTCTCAATACTTTAATACTTTACAGCTTTAGTAAATGAGTTCGTTGAAAAAGGGAATCTAGCTAAATTGTTATATTGTGGAATAAGATTACTATAATCTGTGTAAAAAGCGCTAAATCTCTGAAGCCTGTTATAACCAATCTTTTTGCCCAGAAGTTTCGGGAGAAATCACGTGAACCAACGTGTGAATATCAGATTGGTCGAAGGGACGAAAAACCAGAAAGGCCTTGAAATACCCAAGACCATTGTAAATATTTGTAAACCCTTGCATTTTTGACGTTGCAGTACACCTGTTACCTTACCACTTTTTCCATTAGCCAAGAAACTGAGCAGCCATCAAGGAGTGGGGTCTGAAAGCTATTTTTCAGGCATCCACATGTGTATTTATCCACTGGATCATGCTATCAAAAGTCAATCTGAACTGAAATATCTCTTCCAGATTTTACCATCGTAAATCACAAAAATAAAAAGACGATTGTTATGACCTTGTCACTTGTTATATTCTAGATTATGTCGAATAGTTACTACAAGAATATAACAAGTGACAACAAGGTCATAACAATTGTCTTTTTATTTTTGTGATTTACAATGGTGAAACTTAGAAGGGATGTTTTAATTCAGATTGACTTTTGATAGCATGATCGAGTGAATAAAGTGGTTTGTGAACTTAGCACAAAAATACTGTTCACCTTTGATATGGAGGCATAAAGGCCTTAAAATAAAACTTACAGCTACTAGAGGATTACTTGTGTACTAACTCAATGAAGATGGTAAACTGATCACTCTTCAGTTACTGAAAACTTGCATCAGCTCGAACGGGCTAGTTGCTGACGAAATCTAAGTTGGATACAGAACGTCTGCTTAGCAGTTACCAGCTTGCGTCAGCTCTGCCTCCGACTGGCGAGATATCCGACTAACTACTTAAGGACAATTAAATTACCGTACAGTTCGTTCTGTCCTGTTATGTGACCGTGGGACATGGGCGTTAAAAACAAATAAAATACATGGACAGGTTAGAAGTTTTCGATCGCAAGTATCTTCGTAGGATTGCTTGGGTTCAGTAGAATTACTATTGGGTGATTTTGGGGTTAAATGAAGTGTTCCAGCCAAGAAAGAGAAGGCAGTCCTTGATGTTTTGAATCTTTATTGACTGAGGTGGCTTAAACATATTTTGTGCATGCCGAGCCACCGCCTGCCTCGATGTACCATGCTGGGGGATTTTGATTAAATTGAAAGAACGGGTTTAGGGTAGCTAGCTGAAAACGTGCCTGTAGCCTCTAACCATTGGTTTAAGCCGTGTAGAGAGTTGTAGACTACCTGACTGAGGCTTCTGAGACTCTACTACTTCGGTTGAAGACTGCCGGTGACTTGGCTAAAAATCGGTCACAATGGCGCAGGTATATTCACTCTTTGGCGTCTTCGGAGCTGGAATACGTCCACTGACCTTCATTTTCAAATATCCTCCTCTATACACCTTTGTCTACTTTGTTACCTTTCTTATCCATTTACTCTTTTCATGCCTCTAGAAAGTATTGCAAGTTGGACCTAGGCACTTATGTGCTAGGTTCTACGTTGGTTTTATATGATATCAAAGGGCAGAAAACATCACTTATTGGTCCCTTAAGTTTTATAGCAAAACTTTAATATCGTTTGTTATTTCTGCTGCTAACTTTCAATTTTCTGAATAATGTTTTTTTAACCCATCTATTTCAGGCTTGGGATTATGCCATAGGCTTCCCGATCAAAACGTGCAACACAACTGGGTTCATTGCACTAGGATTATCCTTAGTTATTTCTGCAGTTTTGGCATGCATTCGATTATAGTATTACCCAGGGAATTATTTTTGGAGCAGAATAGTACCAATATTTAAGATGTTTGTTTTGTGGTTTTAATGATTATATGTAGTCAAAACAATACCTAGTTCGTAAATGATTTTCACCACTTATATTTGTGTTATTTTTGCCAAATACATAAATACCTCTAAACTAAAGATTCGAAAGATTACTCGTTACAGTAAGTGCGTGTTGAATGACATACATATCGTGGTAGAACTATTTCGATGATTTTTGGGAGGATTATAAAACTGAACTGATATGAGGACTACCGAGGTATATTGAACCTCTTGTAAGTCTTGTTGTTTTTCTTTTTCAACACAGTATAAACCTTCTGAATTGGGGTATGTATAGTCAAGTCCTTAATAGGTTCTCATAAAGATGCGAAGTTTTATGGTTTCAGAATATATTTGCGTAAGTCTTCACTACCACTTAACATCTGATAATTTCAAAGGTCCTATAACAATTTACAATGGTTCATTTTACGTGGGAAAATAGTGCTGTGCTTTAAACAACACCGGCGTTTTTGAACACAGTCACTTTTTGTTCGAGTCATGCTGTATTGCTATCCTTCAAAATCGCAAAGCCTGTGTGCACTGCTTCCAAACTTCGCTTAGGAAACTCATTGGTCTACTAGGTGGTTGGCTCCAACCTTTCAGTTCTCATCAAACAGAGATGCTGATTAGTATTTCACCTATGAGTTATTTGAACTGATGGAGAATATTTGTAGCTCAGGTGAATGGTCTTGATTGTACGCATTACTCTGCGAGAGCATTTTAAGAAGAAAAGCGTAGTCCACCCTTTCATACCCTCTTGTTCGGTTGTCAGAAACTAAATGTTTGTAGCGACCAGTAAAGACTAATTATAAAATAAAGAATTCTGGGAGTTGAATTGCGGATCGGTATTACCATTCGTATTTACAGATAAATCTTTTGGTATATGGCTTCTTATACAAAACCGCTCTTACCTAGTTGTAATGTTTCTAAAGCAGTAGTATTTTGTTTGTTTTTGACGAACTTTACAAACTGAAATAATCTTGCGATCAAATGTACCATCTACCAATATAATTCTTGTTTGGATAATGAAGAGGAATGCAGTGTTAAGTAAATATTACTTTTTAAAAAATCACTTAGTTCAGTTAATTACAAATGATGTTACGGTATGCAACATTTTGTGTCATTTACAGTTAGTTCAAAATGGAAATAATGCTCTGTTATTACGCTAAATCCTTTTTTTTTGCAGCATATATAAATTTGTTGCATTTGTTTCCATTTTGTCAGTACCGTGCAAAGTATAAGCTGGTGATGGTCAGAATACTGAATAACAGAAACAGGTTCGTTTGTAGTGACACATTGGACGAGGTATTGGCGACTGTGTTTTGCGAACCTAGGAAAATAAATCAAAAGGTTATGTCGTGTTATTAAATTAGACTAAGAAGAAAAACCCGTTATCAACCAGTCAGCTGTTGATTACAAAGAACTGGACGTACATTTTACTCCATTCTAGAAGTATTTGGGAATAAATGCCATTAGTTTCTCCGGAGATGAAGCTGAAGTTAAGGAATTTCTGGAAAGCGTCACACTAGACGTTTCCAAACTTGGATTTCTTTTCCATCTTAGCGACTTGTGTCAAAATTAAAGACAGTCGCCCTGAATGAAGGTGAGCGGAAGTACAAAACCGTTTAAAAATGAACCTACGGCTAGTTACTAAGTGTGAATAAAAGTGTGCAGACGTTTATAGAGGCACTGGTTTTGCAGCGTGGCAGCCCCTGTTCAGAAGGGGTGACATTTCTACCTACCGTCGTGAGAATAATAAGTCCGGTTTTGGTATTTTGCAAACTTCGTATCTGTAGAAAAAAGAAAACTGAATTTGTTTTGACTAACAAAGGTCATATTGGCTATTCAAAATTTGGTAATTGTAATTATTAATGCGACCTCTAAAGTTATCATTTCGGAAGTGTTTGTTCCCAACTAACATTTTCGGTAATTTTTATCTAATTTTACTATCAAGTATGATCTGGAAACACAGTATCCATCTTTTTTATTTGTACATTTATCAATTTTACTTAGTGTTTCTAACCCGATTGTATTTTGGCTCCCCGTACAACATGCTCTGACAAGTAAATATTTGATGGGACTGCTCAAAATGTATTACTCAAATCTATCATTTCCCCATTGTTATTCGGTTTACACTGAGGTAGACAACAAACCTTGAGGTAGTCAAGAAAGCATATATCATTAGACTGTGAAGTCGCTTACTGTCTATTTGAACCGCGTAGGCATCATTCTGAGTGCTAGAAATCAGTTACTGGTAGTGACATCACCGAGAGCAGACCGTCCTGTGAATCATTTCATTTTCTCACCTTCACATTTCGAACATACCCCATTTTTGCAAATACGTCAGCTGCTCATAATTTCACTTGAACTGTGAAGTATTTTATTATTGTTGTTTGGTCATGAATATTTTTTGCAGACCTGGTTATATCGACATTCTTAAGACCTGATATAATTCTTCTATAGACTCAACGTTTTGCAAACCATTTATGCGTATTCAAACTGTTGATTCTGTTGTGTGAATTCATCTTGATTGTGAGAGTTGTATAATTTGCACAGGGTATGCCTGGTGAGAACAGTTAGTGAAACACAGTTATCAACATATTCTTCCACTTTGAACTACTATTGAATCCATTATCCCAAGTATTCCTTACTAGATAGTTTTCGAAGAATCCCACGGAAATTAGTCTCCTTTCGGCGTTGGGATTAAATTATAGTCCTTGATCTTTTTGTAAGCATCACATTTTGCTGGCAATAGTGTCAACATACTGACTAACATAATCAGCGGAAGACCTCGCACACAGGTACATCGGTTCAGGTTGCCTTTCTTTATTCGGATGTTGAAAGCTCCTACATGAAATCGATGGCGGGGTCTTTGGAAATTAGGAACAAGGTTTCTATGGCTGGGGTCGTTCCCAAAGGTCGCAGAGTGAGAGGTTGGGAAAGTGTAAGAAACCTAATATTAGTATCACGAGGTAAAGGCAAAGGAGGAGACAGAGTTGAGGCGGATAGGTTATGTTTGATTGGGTGTTGTGTACTACTGGAAGCATGCTGGCGGTTAACACTTTCCGACTGCTCACACGAAGGTGCCTGAAAGAGGAAAGGACTTTTGTGACCGCAGAGCCCATGGGACATTTGCTTGGAACTTGTTACACATAGCGTTTTGTGAGTTGTTGTTTGGGGATTGGTTGTTTTGACGCTAGATAGAGAAAACATACTGGGAAACCGTGGGGCAGGGCGGGATGGGGTATTTTTGGGGCCAACCTTACTTAACTCCCTTCTTTCAGTACGGAAGGGAAAGTCAGCGTGGCACTACTGGTCATCCAAGACAGACCTTACTGCTGTCACACCCCATCCTGCTAGCAGCAGTATGACGTCCTCAGACCCCCACATAGTATAGTAACTTACGCTACAACGGCAACTGCTTTTCTTATCACTATCCAGCAGACATTTCTGACATGGTAGGACCTCGAGGGAATAGGCGTTCCAGCCAGTGTAGCTCTCTGGGCCATTGTGATATACAATTCAGATCACCACGTCAAGGTAGCAGCTATCGACTGGCTGTCAGCATAACTGGAATTCATTTGAATTTCTATATTTTGTAATTAAAGTTCAACAAATGACATGGCTTGAAGAACATCATTGATAAGCAGCAATAGTGTTTTAATATTATGGCTTGTAATTCTTCGTTATCGATTGGGCCGAATTGATCGGCGTCCTGGATTCCACTGCTTACTGCTATTCATCATTACCACCAAAAACGTTTTTTTTAAACTTTATTTTTTGGTCTAAACATATCCGATCATTCAATTATAATGAATTCTTCCGTCTTTCAGGTTAGTTACCTATTTTTTCCTGTTGTCCAATAATCCTATCATGGTTCATGCGTGCTTTTATTATATAGTAAGATGACTGAGGAAATCCAGTACTAGTGGTTTCAAAGTCTTCTCAACAACAAAGTTCCCTTTAGTACAAGTAACGGGACTTTCGCTCTTACTTTATTTTATATTGTTTCTGTACAGAAAGTAATATATGTCAGGTCTCTTTTGTGCGCTGTCATTTGTTGGATAGTACAGTAGTTGGCGTTCTTTAACATTCGAATTACGTTCAGTTCGTGATAATTCTAAAAAATATAGTCTTTTTGAAGAATATATTCATTTTATATGTAATGCAAACCTAACATTTTCAATGATAGATGCACCTATACATTACGTGTAACCAGTGATTGTCTACTTTAATTTATAATTTTATCGAGTGTTCTACCAACTGGGGTTAAAAACTTGAAATGTTAATTCTCCAAATAAACTTATCTTATTAGTCCAGAAGTCAATTATTGTGTGAATTTAGTTTTTCAATCACCTGTCAACAACTCATTGGCTGGGTGAAAAAGATAGTCTAAGCCTACGAGCTTCACTCAGTATATGGGGAGAAGGCTGCTAATGTTGTTGGAAACGTTTGGTCGTAAGTTAGCATATGATAGCTACAATCGTTTCTTAAGGTTTTAAGTCCAGAGGTATGGCGAGTAAAAGCATGTAATTTAAAACGCTCTTCATCATAATAACACCAAGTAACAGTGACTCATTGGTTTTTTATTTTGCCTTAAAATACCCTTCAGGTCGAACTTGTTTCCTCACACTTGTGATATTTGACATACTTTTTGTGTCGTGTAATCGTGCTAAGAACGTTTTTCACATTATGCGAGCAAACAAAGATCATAAGTAAGATTGCCAACCTTACAACTGTAATTTCAGCCCAAACTTGATGCATTTAGTATTTCGCGAAATCTAAACATCAATATTTTCTTCATTTTGATCAACTTCTTGTATTCACTCCAACTAATTTAACAGGCATTGCTTCTAATTGATTAATTCTAGTTTCGAACGAACAACTTGTATTTTATGAAAGCCCTAGGATTAGTGGTTTCGGTGAGCTTTCTTTTACATCGGAATTATGTATTCAGTTTTCGTTGTTTTCAGATTAGGTATCACCCTCACTTCCTCAGAGACATATGATTACTCTATCCTTTTTTAAAAGTTCTTTCAAATGACTACTACTACTGCTACCTCATTTGTAAAATCGTACTAACCGTTAGATGGAGATGTTCTCTACTTTTCAATTTCTTCACCGTTTAACTCATTAAGCATCCCACTCCTAGATGCAAATCCGGGAACAGCTTTGATCGAACTTGGTGTTTGATAGTTGAGCAAATTAGCTTGAGATGACACGATCACTGAATACTGTATTACTCCTTGCACACATGGTTTTCGATGTCAATTGTTGGTGAGTATTTTTTTTGGGGTGGGGGGGTGGGGACTGGTTATTGCATAGTGAGGCCGATAGATTGCGCATTACATTTAAGTTATTTGTATTCATTATTGAGGAAAATTGGTGCTAGATGGTTGGAGGCAACCAACTAAAAGCTCTACTAGGCCTAAGTTTCGTGCTTCTTGGCACTCGTCAGCGAGGCCTATCTGGAATCTTGAGGCGAAATAAGTACCTTCAGGAATTCTAACCCGCATCAGTCAGTGCTGCAGATCTTATCACAGGTGTTCAGGCCATGGTCAACCTGTAGGCCTGGATTAAACTCATCGATTAATCACTGGAGAGTAATCAATCTCATGCCGTCTGGTCCTGAGTTCTAACCGATTTCTACTGATCATTCTGTAATGTGGCTAGGAAGCCAGGAGACTTAGCGTCATGGTGAACTTTGATTGAGTTTAGAGGGTCGGAAGGAAGGTCTACACCTAGATTTCGTACTTATTGGGAGTCATCAGCTAGTTGACAAATCATGGCCTAGATAGCTCGTTGATTACCTCTCTGATTGCAGCAGTGGGTGATGTGAATTCGAATCATTTCACTCCAGATCGCAGATACAGCTTGCTTACGATTTAGAAAATCTGCTCAGCATTCAGTGCTAAGTAACACGAGTGGTCAATTAGTGTTGAAAATAATTAGCTACCAATCGTCAGTGGCTTGTCTGTACACCATATTACTGAAGTAGTTGTACTACGAGTTTGGGCATTTAAAGCACTGATATTCGATTTCGATGTTTATCTTCTACTCTATTCTTCATCGTGTAATACTGATTTAGGTGAGAGTTTTGTATCAATGTAAATCCACAATGCCAAACCGTCTACAGGTTCACATATTAAAATTTAGGTAGCCGATGCCACTTTTATGACAGATGATAAAAAGGTGAAGTATATTTTAAGCCCAAAGTTATATTGTCCAGTTTTCATACTCTGAACAATTTCATGTGATTAAGGTGTGTCTCAGTAACATCGGCTCATGGGTACGCGCTGCAGAGGAGTCCCATAATAAGACGAAACAGCTGTCGAGTGTTTATAGGTTTCCAGTGTTTATTCGATTAATGTCAGTTCATGGTGAGGTTAATAAGTCCCCATAAATCTCAAAATTGAACATTAAGACAACCGAAATTGTAAAAATGAGTATACAATAATACAAGTTTGTAGATTATGAACTCACTTGTTGGTTTTCGGTGAAACAGATTTTTTTCTGATAATCCAATGTGTTTTACGTATGTGTCGAATCTAGTATCATTCTTATCACTGAGTAACCTACTAGTATTCAACTCTTTATATGTTGATCTTTCAATATGCCTTTGATGCACTATAATTGAAAATTCAAAGAAGGAGATAGAAGAGAAGTGATTTAGCAGACTGATTTTTAGTTTACACACAACCCCAGAAAAGTAGCACCTCACACACAGATTTAGTTTACCATACCTTTCAGTAACAGAAAGCAGCAGATTTAGAGAGGAATATTAAAGTGAATCAAATGGATATGAGTATGAAGGGAACTAAGCAACAAGTAAGATTTTTATTATTTCCAAAAAATATATGTCTTAGTTACTTCCTCATCACCACAAGTAGTTATCTAGGATCTCCAACCAAATGGGAGTAAAAGTATAGATGATGATTAAGGTGTCCGAGTCCATGGGAAAACCATCAGGAAAAAGAAACTTTACTTAAAGTAAAAAGATACCCATATACAACCAGTTTCGTACGGGATGCTTGATAATTGTGTTTAGCACATCGTTCTTACTGTGAGTATTCGTTCTAGAAAAGTAATTAGTTTCTGGTGTCCATTTTGAACTGTGATTAGCTCACCAGTTCTAACGAATGATCATAGCCATATCGTTTCTCTTAATAACAGTCTTTTGTTAAAAGTGAAACGTTTCTGTATGCACTTCTGACCAAATGGAAAAATGTCATGGAATTACAACTTGACAATCAACTACTAGGAAATAATAACAGTCGATTAAGCTGATGTGTACTCTAGCATAGTGGCTACGCAGATTTCGATGATGTGTCATTATCGTAATTTCAGTTAACCCACATTGTTAGCTATGATATGGTAGACGGATAGTATATGAAACCTTTAAACAACCCACCTGTCTTCTTCGAAGTCTCTGGCCTCTATTTTCTGGAAGTAATTTCTGCTTGTACATTCATAACGGGAATATCTTGTTAGTGGTCAGTAGGTGTTTATCGTCTTCAGTCTATGTAGTAATAGAGTAGTAAAATAATTTTAAAGATCAATGGAACCTGTACGAGGTCAAAGCGGTTTAAATTGGGGCAGATCAATCCTTTAATCTTTTTCCATCACCAGTTTGTATATATCTGTGCACTTAAGAGTTCTAATGGTTAAAACATGCTTTTTAAGTTTCACACAGGTACTGACTACTCACCCACTTACCAGCGACGTTTGTGGTTGGTCTTTATCGCGTGCAAAATGTCACATTCCTTATTGTCACTTTGCAGGCCTGCAGTATAAGGTTATTGTTTGTAAGTCAACTTATCAGCATAGTTATCTTACAATGGAGAATTAAAAGAATAATATTCACCATGTTTTTTGAATATTGTTGTACTGACTGACTGATTGTATGTATTTGTCTCACCAAGTATCATATCGAAGTCAAGTATTTGCTTAAATATTTTGGTAGGCTGACGAGAAAGCCAATTAAGAGGAGTGGAAGTGCGTGTAACCATCATTCTAGTGATATTGGTGTGACGTGCTGAAAGTAACTGACATCGATTACTTCTACTGAAACGGAATAATCAAACGGCAACAAATTACGAAGGGAATCGTTTTCAACACATTAAGTCTCCAAATTAAGTAATAAGTAAATAAAATATGAAGACTTACGTATTTGAGGGAGATCAGCACCAAAACGGGTAGTTTTATATCCTGTAAATAATGTTGAGGATTTAACTGCGATAAAATTCTATCACCTTAAAAGATCGACCAAAAATATATTATGAAAGAAATCAACCCTAAGCAGTGTAAAATTTCAACAGAGTATAAGAGCCAACTTGAGAATTCCAAGTCTCATGGAAAACGCATTGCCAGTTGGTTACTCGGTTTATAAGATCTCTTAACCTCAGTCATTTCTCCATGTAGCGTAACTGATATCTGATGTCACTGATGAGTATATATTTTCATTCTCAAGTTATAAATGAATGATGGCTTTCTAAAATTCTCGGTATCGGCATAATTTAAAACTCAGGGTGCACAAGGCTGATAAGCCCAAATTTTAATGACATGGCTACCAAATATTCATTGGTTTTCACTGATTGTCTAACGTTTTAATGCGTTTGGTTCCCGTCATGAAATTGAGCACAGTGCAAACGGCATATTTTGAAATATTCAGAGTTCGCATTTTGAAAATTATAACAAGACATGTAAGCGAACAGTATCGTTTTCAGTCAGATCTCTTCAGGCTTCTCTATTATACACAGTTTTCAACATACATATAATTCGTTAGTTAACGACAACAAGAATGTGGATTATGCACTTTAATAAAAATAGCATGGCATTGAAACGTTTGCCAACTGAAATCCTACCCCAGAGGACAATTCACTCTGAACATTCACACCCCTAGGGCTACAAGTTTGTCATTATTATTTATCCTTTGGGTTCCTAGTGGGACATAGGGCTTCAGAGGCTACAAGTATTCACCACGATTCCTAAATTAGGAATACATAGCTGCAGTGAAACGATTGCAATCAAGTTATTTCCGTTTGACCTTTGCATGCAAAAGTATTCTGCGGTAAATCTGATTTTCCCTTGGTAGCAATATTTTGACTGAACTACATAGGATTTTCATTCTATATTTTTAAATTCACTATACTTTCTCCCCATCTCTTAGTACGTACTATTCTTATTTAGTGTTCAGTAACAATTAATACACCAGGTTGCATGTAATTGTAATTCTGAATTTTAAACACTCACTGTAGAGACTTGGAGTTGGTAAAAGTAATAAATTCATCCAGCTGAGAAATGTTAAAACAATTTAACATAGATGTTTGATCACTGCTGGTATCCAGCATGTTGTCATGTGGGCTTAATGTAGCGCACTAGTTTACAAACATTAGAATAAATGAAGAGATTAATTAAAGGTATACTCAATGTTATTCATTTCACATACTACGACAATAATGTCAGGGATGCCACATAAAGCTTATAAGACAACATACTAGATAGCGGTAGTGATGCTTGATCCTACTTGACTTCAATAGTCGTTTAAGTTACATAAGCTTGTGTTGAGATGATTTTACGGCACAAATGAAATGTATCTTTGTGTATTACTCAACATATGATGGAAAGCAGTCACAGGACCACTCTGAATGAAGGCTTCAGAACACCGTTAGTCAGTAGTTTGAAATGAGTTCTTAGGCTCATAGAAACTTTTGGTGAGTCCAAATGACAGCTGCATTCACTATGAGTTCAGAAGCAGTTTTCGCAAATGCACAATCATCATTTCTGATTGATTTAGATAGTTGTCTTTGACTTGTATAGCTAAATAGCTTAGTCTATTGATATTTGATCAAAGTGGTCGAAATAAACTGCATTATACTCTTTCCTTTCTTCGTATAGTATCTGGATTCTTTATCGTAATAACTGAAACCAAATGCAGTTCTTAATCTTACCAGATAACTTCTACAATATTTTCCAGGTTGAGAACAGTAATGTTACCTGTTTTTATATTTATTTCAATGTATTGAGGTATTCTAATAATACCATTCTCTTAGTTCATACTGTTAGAGTGAGACACCTAGAAGATGTACTGTTTATTTATGTTCACTGCAAACCAAATACGGATCTATGTGACCCACAGTTCTGTATGTCTTGAATATAGTTCATCAGAAAAATCTTTTGTTTCTCTTTCATTGGTTTACACAATGAAAAAACCTTGTACAATGTTTGCTTTTGAATGACATAACTAGCTGCAGTATTCACCTTGACTTGTAAAATTTCACAGATACGTGATCTGATTCCATATACCCCTGTTCCATTGAAGTAACTGATTGAGCATCAAGTGTTTCGAAAATCCCGCTGTTCTAGATGCATAAATTTGGTTTCATACTAGCGAAACTAACATCCAGTAGTTAGATTATCTTGTTTCGGCTAACGAGAACTGATAGTTGGTTGAAGTACTCATATATATCTCAGGTAATATTCACATATGTACACATATGCAGCTATCAGTACCGACAACATTAATGGTTCCAAGTGTGAAATAAGGAATTAAGGTTTACATACTTTGTAAAGTAGTCACTCCAAATGATTCACCCATAATGGTACTAACTGAACACACATAATCACCAAAATCCTCTGCTTTTAAATCGAAAATAGCCAATTTTGACGTGATTGGTGATAAACTGTTATAAGATTGTGGTCGGTGTTCCTCTAAAATGAAATAATGAGTAAAAGTAAAACAGAAAGAAAGTATAGGAAAGATTAATTGGCAATATTAAGTTTCAAGAAATAAACGTGCGGGATACATCAGAGAAATCATTCTGTTCTAAAAATTGTGTAGATTTTCTTTTCTTGTGATAGCTCAAAACAATTTCACGTTTAGATTTTGTAAGCTTAGTTTGGAGTCATGTGTTAGTAGGTTCCCATATATGGTTTGTATGGTCTTGAGGCCATTTTATTTTGATCTAATGCTACCATACAGTCTCATGTAGCCAGATACGTTGGTAAAAATCCAAGGGAGCTTAAGTGCTGATAGAGATGTTAGGGTAATTGACACCTCTGACTGCCTACATCATGGAAGGTTACTTCTTTAAGTACCTGAAAAAGTTATTTTGGTAATAAAAGTGCCTGACCACAGGGCCCAAGAAATGTATGCATGAGGCTAGTCACATATGACCAAATGAGCAGTAATATCGTCAACTAGGTTATTTGACTGATTTAATTACAGAAGTAAGGGCAAGTATAACATGGAGCATCTATTCCTGGTAGTTTTCTGACATTCTAGACTAATGACGACAATCAAGCTAAGCGCTGAGGTTCAAATCCTAATCTTGATAATATTAGTCTGTTGGTCACTTTATGGAAACTTGGTAAGCCAGTTTTGATGTGAAATGAGTTGTTCATCGTAACACTACTAATAACAGATAAACGGTGTAATTTGTTTCAAGGTAGTATTCACCACCAACTGATATCCGTTGGAAAACCGTTGAGAAACTGAAGCATTGGACAGCTGTTTCGTCCTAGTATGGGATTCCTCAGATGTGCGCATTCTACTTATGTCAGTACGAGATGAATACTACCTTGATATGAATAATAAAATGCCTATAAACCTTGAAATAAAATAAAATTTGTATCTGCTCCTCCTACTTCCGACGTTTTTAAAACATGAGAGCTAAATTGTAACCCTTTTTTGTTTTACATGGATATTTTTAACAAAATATGTTGATTACTTTGTTGACAGCGTATTTCAATTTAAGAACAATAAGTATTCCTTAAATTTGTGGTGTGAATGTAGCTTTTTTCGATCATCAAATCACTGAGCAAATATTATTTCAACTGCTCTAGTGAAGCAATTTACCTTGGACGCTCTATGAGAACTCTTTTCTGGAGATGTAAAATAGTAACTGTCAGGATAATTGCATAATGGGGAAGTGAAAAGTATCACTAGTTCCATTCAGGGCTCATCTGATGGGAAGCATCCATCCAGTGGACATTTAGAAGTCTCTTGCACTTTTCTACCAAATTTCAAATAGATTATTACATGGGGTACAGCTTTGTCTTCTCCACGCAGCCAAATCATTTGCCATTAAAATCATGAATCCAGAATTAGTTTTTCAGATAAGGTTTTTCCTGAGCACCTCTTCCCTAGCCTTGTAATAATGCGTGATATTACACGATCCCCATTTAGTGTCGTCGTTGAATACTTAACCTCACGTCTGACTTGGTTTGCCCCATCAATCACGGCTTCTTATTAGAACTTCGGGAAATTTCATCCGGAATTTCGTTTGTTTGTACCATATTTTAGTTGTATATTTCAATTAGTTGTTCTTCATGTTGTAATTGCATAATCAGTAGCTCTTACAACAGTTATTTCTGGTTTCATTTACAATTCCGTTTACTGGCTGGTCAGATTTCATTTAATTGCACACCAATTCCAAGTAGCTGACTGTGAAATCAACCTCACCCTCAATTTGATATCTAAGCACTTATTAATCATCTGCACATACTCTTAGTGTACACTGTCGTGTATCAAAATATCATACTTGAAGGTCAGACCTGATCAGACAAAATAATTTTATTCGCTCAAATCATTTATCTTATCAGGATGAAGAAATATACTGTTGAACGGAAGACAAAATAGATACCATGGGCTCCAATACTGACTTATATATTTTTGAAGCAGGGCGAATATCACAGACAAGTTTCTGATTCCAATTTCTGAGAAACAATAAAGTCTATCAATGGAATGCAGATTTTCAGACTTCTATAAGTCTATGAAAGTGAATAATTACTGAATTCAGGAAGTTACATCAAGAGTGATAACATGAAGGAACTTTTCGTTTCTTTGTTTGTTCTTTAGCTAAGTAAATGAATATGCAGCATAACGGTTCTGTATTAAAATCATGCATGTTATCAGTATTTTGGTTTGACAAAGCCAGGAATCAGTTATACATTCTCAAGCTAATTTTAAATTACCCAACTTACCAATTAGGACATTTGAAAGAACACCGAGTTCACCGAAGATATCTTTTACAGTGATTTCATTCTCTCTAGAATTTCAGCTTTATACGTTCTGCCCCACTATATTGGATAGTCTCAAACATTATTTAATTTAACTTGGCTATTGACTAAGTTCAAGGTAACAACAGAAGTTGAACAAGTTTCTTTTGTACACATAATTCCTGTCTCTTTTTGCATGTGGCAAGACCTTCTAGAGTGCAGAGGAGACAGAAGTGTACCATTTTTGGCAAATTTATTTTCATTTTGTAGATAATTTGAATACTGAATCAGTTGTGGCACTTTTAGCTGTGTTGATAACGTGTGTAATTATTCCCCTTCTGACGAATCCAGTTGCAGGAAAGCCCAGTCATACTCACTACCATGTTTGGGAAGAACACGGATCGAACGGCCTACCTACCTGGCTTAGCAGGAGAAGGTAAATTGATAAATACACATCGAAGCAGTTAGATACGTAATTTTATCAACTAGGTAACCAGGAATCTTTGGACGGCTGGAGAATACCATCCTTAAGGTTAATGTTACGAATGTTTTCTTTAGCGAGTTAGCGATTCTCCCCTTCGAAAGTTCAGCGGTGAAGTCACTTTTGAGGTCCAAACTCATTTATTGTGTCTTTTTTGTAACTGAGATGGATATCTCTCTTTGTGGTGGTAGGTTTTCTGTTTTTGATTACGAATCTTATCGGATATCTGTTTTCAGCTAGAATGATTTTGAGAAGTGTGAGTTCTTCTGAAAAGCAGTCAGTGGTGCGGATGTGTCGAATACGGTAGTTATTGGGTGCGATAGGCCTAGTTTTTCGACTTACAGGTTTTCTATAGACAGATCTCAATATCCCATGATCTAGTTTGGTCATTTCTATATATACTTCGAGTGTGAACTCAAATGAGAGAACTGTTAAATACTCCCAAAATGCAACTAAAATTAAAATCTCGATTAAAAATTACGATGATATCTTCAAATTATCTTTATTCACCAAAAATGGTCTTTTATTGGTTTTATACTAACGAGCTACAAACTGACCTATAAAGATCTTGCATTGGCGGGTCGGTTGGGTAACCGATAGCAATTCTACGTCTTCATTGTTAGGTCATGTCACTGAAAGAAAATTGAGCACTAGAGGGGCACCTAAACCGCAGCTCTTTCAAGTGTGAGTTGGGTATTCCAGTTATGAAGTTTTTGTCACTGATATATTTACAAGAGAAACAGATCATCTTTGTGAGTAGTAGGTTGGTGAAGAGAGATTCTTTGTCATTTCATTTCACAAACGTTGCAATTACATTCAAATCTCCTTTTTAGTTCATGGATTCGAGATCGTCGCAAAATGAGTGACTGGATAGCTGTGTCAAATTAGGCTTCAGAGCTTTAAAAAATCGCTTTGCAGTTGGATGGTCCTGATATACTTAAAAATCACAGACAGATTAAGCTTTGTGAAATTTAAGCAAAATGTGAAGTGAAGGTGTTGATGATGCTATCTGTCTGATGCGTTCATAAAAATTAATAACCATTTGGTTATTCTTTAATCCTTTAAGAACATCTGTTAGTAACTTTATATACAGTTCACTTTTTCTCATCGAGAATTCGCTATGGTTTGAACTCAAGGTTAAAATCTTTTCACCATATACATTTCTGTATATTAGGGTCCACGAGAAGTGCAATAATTAGATGTCTTGTCAACACTGGTCAAAATATCACAACTGATTCAGTATTCAAAGTTAACCAGTTCCATTCAGGCTCATCTGATGGATACTTAGAAGTCTTTTGCATCTATCTACAAAATGAAAATAAATTTGCCAAAAATGGTACACTTCTGTCTCCTCTGCACTCTAGAAGGTCTTGCCACATGCAAAAAGAGACAGGAATTATGTGTACAAAAGAAACTTGTTCAACCTCTGTTGTTACCTTGAACTTAGTCAATAGCCAAGTTAAATTAAATAATGTTTGAGACTATCCAATATAGTGGGGCAGAACGTATAAAGCTGAAATTCTAGAGAGAATGAAATCACTGTAAAAGATATCTTCATTAACGTTCTTGTTCTCTTTAATATATTATTTTTCATATATTTAGATTTGCCGTTCTCACGTCCTTCCTGAGATTGTGTTCATCATTTCATCTTACTATAATTTTCTCATTGTGATTGCTGAGTTGAGAAATGTAACTTTTATCATGTCAATATTTTCCTTTCGATATAAAATGATTAACTATGATATATATATATATATATATATATATATATATATATATATATATATATATGTCACATTTACCTTTTGTCATAATATCAGAAACCTTTATTCAGGGAGTGATATTTTTCTTGTCTCATCTGCAGTCTTCTCGAGTGTCGAGATATGCGTACGGTTTTGTTACAAGCTTTGACGTTATCTTGCCTTGTAGCTCAATTGATTAGCAGCTCGTCATAACCCAAGAGACCTTTCACTTTTACTTATCAAAAAGTGTACTTGCTCCCAGTAGTTGATTTACTTCACATTTATTTTATTATTGTTCATATCAATCAAGGAAACCTACACTAAAAATGGTGTAGGACTTTATTCGTTTGTATGCAACATTCGAAGCTCCAGTACAAGCACCATTTGTCGGCGAAATCGTTTTGACATTTTGTTAATAATTCATCTTCATATCCGACACAGAAGTTTACCCTGAGGGATCTTCTTTAACATTCAAGATGAATACAGGTGTTAATATTTCATTTGGACGCACCTAGTGTAACTTTAGCTCTTTTACAATAACCCTTAACTGATCACACATACATAGTATACAGGGTTTTCGCCGGTGTATGCAACTGCATTCTCTCCTTTTAGGAAACGGGTTTATTACTTTTAATACACATTAGCAAATAGAATATAGGATTTTGTGACAGTATCTGATTATTTATGGACATTCCAATATCATACCAGAGGCTAATTTTAAGGAGAAAATCTGAGGTCTGAAGTATTCAAAAATATCTATGTGAAATGAATCCTTATCCATTGTCGATTTGTGGCTCATTGGACTTAGTACCTGACTTTCGAGCAATGAGTCATGCTTTTAAACTTTGCTCCGTTTTATGCAATAAGCTTCCTTCGTTGCCTAGTCTAAGAATACTTATGTAGTCTACAAATTACATTAAGTATTACTAATGTGTTCCTGGGATATCATTTAAATCTCAAATCATTTTTGTCTGGTTATTTTACAGATCGTAAAATTATCAAGTAGAACAACTTACATATCAAGGGTTAAGTTCGTTATAATACAAAAAAACTCTTCGCGCAAATGAAAAAGTTAACCAACTCTATGCTCTTCAGCGTTACAGTACAGATCACCTTATTTATTAAGAAATCACAGATTTTACTTTTTCATTCTTCAATCAGACTCTTACGTAAACAATATTTTTTCTCTGCATTCGTCATTACATCACAACTCGTAGCAGCTATGGGATAGTGATGATTGAAAAGCCAACGTATTGATCCAGGTGGATGTGCATTCACTTGACATGTTAAGACTGTATTCATACCAATTCCTTGTTTTATTATACGGTTGATCATCTTGACTTCTGGTGAGACTTAAAAATAAGACATAAATGTATGTTATTGCATTGAAGATGATAAATTATAAGTTTTTTAGCTGACACTATGAACCCATTAACAACCGCTGATTAGCAGTCCGTTTTCAAATGTTGTATACTGCTAAACTGGATTTAGGAGAATGAAGTTTTATCGGGCTGACGTTTACTGGATGTACTTCATTGAAAGAACACCTTTACTATTTCTTTTTACGCATGGAACTTCTGAACTACATCGATATAAATGCACATTTCGCTTTCAAAAACAACACATTGTATGTATGTCCCCTCATTATATCATATATTTACTGAGATTATAAAAGTAATCATAATTTTTCAAAGCTACTATTTTAAATGTGCAAAATGATCTTGTCAGTCAAATATTTCACTTTCTTAGGGAGTTACATCAGCTTGAACGGGGTGGTTGTTGACGAAATCTCAACTCGGATATAGATGATCTGTTCATCATCTGCCAACTTGCGTCATCTGTGTCACTGATTGGCGATATATACGACTGTCTGTCGAAAGATAAGCATACTGTGTTGTAGTGCGTTCTGCTCTGTTATACAGCTATGGGACATGGCCTTTAAAAGTAGATGGCATGAAGGGATTACAGGGTTTTGATCACAGATGTTTTCATAGCAATACCTGCGTTTAATGGAATTATGTTGTGAGCAATATTGAGGTCAGTTGAAGTGTGATAGGCAAGTCAGCTGATGAGGTTGTGAACTTGAATTGACTGGGATGGCTGTGACATGTACTGTACATGCCGAGCTATTACGTACCTCGACGTACCATGCAAAGGGAAGTTGGATTAGGTTGGAAGAGGGTTCAGAGTGACCAGACCAGGATGTGGCAACGTCCATGAAATCTCTAACTGGTGTGAATCGTGTAGGAAGATGTAGACTGCCTCGAGAAAATAGGAATCCGTTGTTGGAAACTCTTGGTGACATGGCTAGAAATCGATCACGATGGCGCAGAAGTATTCACTCCTTGTTATCTTCTAAAGCTCCAATATTCGTACTAACCATTATCACCAGATCGTTTATCCTCTCACACGACTTAGTCTACTTTTATCTCGCTCTTTTTCTACTCGCCAGTTCTCTGTATATTACTGTGGAGTGTTTCAACTTAAATCAATGCACTTATGTGCGAGGTTTTACCTTGATTTTGTCGGTGGGTTGGTGTCGGACATTTTGATGTTATAAACCAGCATCTGAAAGTATTCAGTGACATTGCTGACTATTTCCTTTTTCGATCACCAAATGATGAGATGTTAAATGTTATCTATTAAGAAGTCACAGATTTTACTTATTCAATCTTCAGTCAAATTCTTACATAAACAATATTTTAAATATAAAATGTAAAATTCTACTTTAAAGAGGATAAGTATTTAAGGATAGTTGCTAACTCAACGTTTACATTTTGCACGGCATTAACGAGAACCAGTTTGGTCTTGGAGTAGATTTATTCTGAATAACAGGGGAAATTAGTCTTTAAATCTAAGATGCAATAGCGAGAATCAGCAGTAAAATGATCTGTTCGGTGTTCACCGTTATTCTTTACGTATATATTACTTGGATATGAAGGGGTCGAACCATCAAAATGCAACATAATAACGCAGTTATGATTAGAGTATGTTTCAAAGTAATATCTACGATGAAAGCAGTCAACTGCTTGATTCTCAAATATAACCCTTTCAACATAGTCTCCTGTCTTTCTTATGGGGTAAGTTATTTTCTTGTTACAGATTCCGTAACTAAGATAAAAGGTGTACCCGTAGCACAAGGAGTGGCTGTCTTGACCTAACGCTCTGGCGTTTGAAGCAATTGGTTTTGGGTTCAAGTCGTAGTGAGAACAACATCGCTCACTGTAAGCAGGTACACATGACTGGGGAGTTCTAAATAAGATGAAACGCTTGTTCTAGATTCTACCGTTAGCCTCACTATCCATCATTACCACTAAAATATGTTAATCGCATTCATTTACCATATTATATTGAACCGCGATTCTGTCAATGCTTGAATGCTGGTCATGAAATGATGGGTAAGAGAATAATTATTGTGTTGCGTAAAGCAACACAAAATATCATGTTCTGGAGGAGCAAGGAAATTGACGGGAAGAGCACGCTACTAAAAATATATTCCCATTTAAAGAGTAGGTTTAACAGTGAAAAGTCCAAACTGAGCAACTCACATTGATTCTAAGTTGTCTCTTGGAACCGACAACCTCAGAGCTTTGCAATATTTTGAGCCTCAACTCATACTCCATAAGTTCACCTCACTAAATTCATATCGGAAGTTAATGTCTTCATGATCTAGTGATATGTCTTAATTAAGTAACTTAATTAAGGATACAGTCAGCATGTACCTTTCGCGACTGGTGGAACAAAATGGTTTATCTCTGGTACAGACGGTGAAATGTGTTGACAAATTGGTTTTCGCTACACTAAATATGTTCAACGGAAATATCATTACATTCTTAGAAAAAAGTCGGGTTTAGAAATTGCCTGAAATCAGAAATGATTCTGTAGTTATCACTGTTAGTGCAGTTAGTACGACATATTAACCCTAGTATTTTTATGTTTCTACTCACTCTTCTTGTATTCTAACCCCATAACATCGGAGATACGTAGATATCTCTATTGAACTTTCTGACTACTGGCTTCACTGCGTCAGCTTTCTGATAATCTCAGTCTTTTCTTTACCTAAGTTAATTATGCTTTTCACGTTCTCGTACAAAAAGTAAACAATGTGGGACGATACTACCAACAATAATCTATAGAGGCCAAAATTAGGTGGCACTTTACCGGACAGTACTACTAACCACCAGTATAAGCATTTTAGTAAACCATGTTAAGATTATTTCTCTGCAGCATCTTCTTCTGTGCTCAATATGAAATGCAGTGAGTGGGTTGGTTTAAAATATGTTCAGTGTCATATTTAAATTAATAGCCTAAAATTTAATCCTGGGAATTATTTTGTGTGCACCTACAGAGTAACTGATAAAATAACCATCTTTTTTATATCATGAAGTCGACAAAACAAATTGTTTGTATCTAACCAAAATTATGCTGTTTTCAAATTTAGATTAACTTCTACAGGTCAAGTAATGAGATGTCGTCACAATTTATTCCTAACTTTCTCAAAGAGTAAGATATGACGTCCAAGAGTCCTTATTTATTTTTCTATATATTGTATACTGTTTGAAATAAAGCTGTTCATTTAGGTAAAAAGAGTTTTTATATTGCTTACAGTGATTATTGGAATCAAACAACTTTGTGGTCAGCAACAGGATGGCATAGGCTCAGTCGGTACATTACCTGGTATCTGAAAACGATACATGTCATGTAAGCAGATTAGGCAGTGTACATGGTTTTCTCTGAGTTTACCTTCCTATTTACACTGAGAAATAATTTAAGTCGAATCTATTTATGAGAATAAAATATTAAACTCAAAAAGACAAGATGTTTCGTCTGCTGGCTACATAAGCTAATGTGTAAGTAGGGTGTGACTTTCATTTTAAAACAGTTCTTCCAATTAATGATCAAAGGTATTTCATGGTCTGTAAAGATGTAAACTTTTTAAAATTCGCACTCGAATATGAGTATTAAGGTAAGATAGTATGAAGACCAGCCTGACTTTTTGTTGTCATGATGGACGTTTGCTTTCATCATCAGAATCCCTATTATTATTTTGACACCTTGTGCTAAAACTCTGGGATCTTCCCTCCAACTACTTAGAAATAAACAAATGTCATCATTTTTATTGCAGTAGTTCGGTATATCGTTTTGGTTCTCCTATCTTACCATACTCATTGGGCCTGTCTTTCATGTTCCAGCACAAAAATGCACCACTGATTTTCGTCTGCACTGATTCCATAATAATTTTAGGCTCCTGTAGCTGCCGAGGACAGGTTACGTAGTAAAGACAATCGCATTGTATATCGACCTTGGTGACTAGCAGAGGAATCCAGAACGTACGTCTCGTCGTATCTGACACTCATCAACTGGATGTACCTCCATCCCAGTGACTGATGCTGTTCCTACTTGGACTCGAACCAAACGTCAGAGCCCTACCCACAAAGCCACTGAGACACGATAGTCACCTCTTGTACAACGTGTGTTAGTTGTTGTTACCTGTTACACTAGAGGTGGCTATCGTGCCCCAGTGGGTTAGTGGGTAATGCTCTAACGTTAGAAGCGTAGGTTACTGGGCTCGAACCTCAGTGAGAACAACATCACTCACTGGAGTGCAGGTACATCCAACTGACGAGTCCCAAATAGGACGAGGTGCGCACTTTTGGTTCTTTTGCTAGTCATGAAGACCAATATGACATCATGAATTATCAGTAGAGTCGAGGCATCCGTATCGGAGCCCATCTGTCAACAGAGGTCGAGTAATTCGACCCTATGTAGCAACAGAAAATTACAAGTATCATAACAATAATCAGTTTTTATTTCTCAAAATTCGTTCTTTTTGGCCTGAAAGAAAACAATGAATGGCACTACGGAAATGAAAATATCAGTTCAAAAGTAAAAATGTAACACCAGAGGAATATTTTAATAAGGTGACGTGTTTATATAAGTTTCTTTCCCAGTAATCGTTATAAGTTGACCAGGTGAGATGCTATGTCACCAACTACTTTTCTCTAGTCAACTTCTTCAAGACTTCACTGAGTTAAATGAACAAACAAATGAATAAGTAACGTACATCGAACAGATAGAATCACTTCTCGTTGATCGTCTGGCTGAACACCATTAGCTGCTAAGCAAACGAAACGTCGATTCATTTTTCTGTGCAGTTTACCAATAACCAATGTTCCATTATCATGATTAATGGCTACAAAAAATTTTTTAAAATGATGAGATGAAAGTCGTCAGTTAAACTAGACGAAATCGTATTAAGCTAGTTTCCAAAGAATGAAGGTTTTTCAGTTCAAGATTTTTGGTAAATTTTAGAAAGAGTAATTACTTCTTAAATCAAGTCAGTATATGTGTTACTATTCACAACTGCAAGCACTGTCAGATTATGCTGCAGTATCTACTCAACGTTTCTTAAAAAAACCAAGCTCTTTTAAGGCTCACGACAGTACAGTTTGTGTGAGTAGCAAAAGAATAAGTCATCATTTTTGTGGCTAGATAAAGTAACTCACTTTACAACCTAATTCATGCAACTTATTATTGTCATCATCATTGTCTTTCATCTGTTTACTTGTTATCATGTAACACGAAGTATATAATCGCGTGAGTTTGTCATATAATTGAGTATTTCGCATTTATGCTGCTGTTATGCCAAGACATTGAATACAAGCTTCGATGGCTCCACAACTCTCAGTACTCGTAGATGCTCAACCTTCGGATAACTAAGATGGCATGAGTTCAACTGAACGTTTTAATTCAAGGGTTGTCTTATCTCTGTACTTTTAACAACTTTATCCTTTTCAGAATATGTTCTGGTAATGTTAACAAGTGACAGTCTGAGCAGATTAAAATGAAAATCCCTATTTTCCCCCAGTTGACTATGAAATGTTTTGGTCATTATTTCGGGTTCGGTAAGAATCTAAAGAGTCATCTCTATGTTACTCAAAAGGGAGCAGATTAACTTTGTTTGCGCATTATTGTTAACTGTATAATTTTATGATAAGTTTGATGTAATTTATCCACTTAACTTATGGTTTCATAAACTTATGTCCCAATTATTATTGATGACTGGTTACAACAAACAGCCCACGCATCAGCTTCCTCACATCTTCCACGTGATTACCTATTTCTAACATCTCTTTTCATGAATACTGAGCGAATAGTATAGACAGTACGAACGAGATTCTCTGCAGCGTTAGTTTAATCAAATGCCGTTACAGTTTTAAACTTTTATGAATGATAACGAGAATTCAGAGCCGAATTTAAACAAGAATCTTGAAAAATGTTCCATCATAACCTCAACAATTAACTGATACATGATCACTGATCAATAATTGACGGTAAAAGAGTAGTTGGAAGTTAAGTGTATTCACTATTAGCAACAACTTCACTAAATATTGTCTTATATTACTAAGTTTAAAATTCTGAATAATATGCTTCACAGATATTGAACAAACTCCAGCCAGCACTTAGGAATAGATGCTTACATGAGTTACTATTAGTTGATATACTTGTGTACACTCTTCTTTCCCACACGGGGTTAGTCATGACCTAAATAACCTAACGGTAAAGTATTTGGCTTTAACAGTGAATGAAAAATTAGAATATGCAAATAAATGTTAATTTCCTAAAGGTTGTGGAAACGCCTTGCACATGAGTACTGGTAGACACGAAACCACGGTACTGAGATTCCATCTCGACCCACACTAAAATCTTATTTAAGATAAAGTGAACTACCGTGTATATTACTTAAATGAGAAACTTTTAAGAAGGAGAGACAGATACCTGATTTATCAATATTTTCTGTTTAAAATACGGTCTAAATATTAGTTCTCAACCTTAACCACAGTTGGTGTCACTTTCATTTCATTAACCCATCATTAACCTTCTTCAGAAGCAGTTTCATTGGTATTCTGTTGGTCCATTACTAACCTCTGTCAAAGGTTGTGTGACTGACATTTGATCAGTTCATTGTTGACCAGCATATGAGAATGCAATCTCCATATTAAACTTGACAATTATCCACTCAGTAAAATTAACCATATAGACAGTTATATTTTCAGCAAGTTTCTGCCTTTTTCTGGTGCAACAAATCTTGCCTTACTAAACGTGTGTTCTCCGTCTTTCAGTAGTGCAGAGACAGTATTCTCATTAATTAGTATCCATTGTCGTATGTCGAAGTACTGCATCTGTAAAAGGACAGTTCCTAATTTGCAACCCATCGGTTGGGAGGAATCTCACAAAACTCAGCATTAATCATTCACATCAGTGACCGCATGCACACTTCAATTATAGTTTTCTATGAACATTAAGGACTCAGAGTCTACATTACTTATACCGCGACAAACTAATCTAGCGTGAAAATGGACATTAGTTGTACCTTCACAAAATCCTAAAAAGTACTGAAAAGTCGTTACCGCTGTAGCTTTTTTTCAAAAAATAAATATGAACTACATCAATGTGAACAATATGTACGCTATTTCGGATCACTCTTCCCTAAAGCTACAATAAGGAATTTTCTTTCAGACAAAAGCCGGACCTGATTTACTCTCCTTGTAATACAAAAAATCAGCTATTCATTTGAAACTTTTAACCCATATGAGTATCTCGTGATGAAATATATATCTGTCATGTCTTGTTTGTTTTATCCATTCAGTATAATATACCGAGTGATAAATACTGATTATGTGGGCAATCCATTCCATTCTGTCTCATCGGAAAAAATATATAAACTTGGAAGACAGAATTAAAAACTTACGCACTCCTAACTCCGAAAATGCTTCAAAAACTGATAATAATTTATCATCATTTCCATCTTCTGTTGATAGGCGATTGGAATGAATTTTCCAAGTTAATTGAGGCGGTGGATCTCCTATTGCTAAACAATTTAACTCCAGCACAGAGCCTTCATCAACTTTGAGATATGGTACTGGAGATTTAATTATTGTCGGAGGTACTGTAATTAATGTAGTTCAACACGATATTGGAGAAATGAATAAACTAGTGTAAATTTTATTCTGTTGAAAGATTTTTGACAAAAATAGATCAACGATAATTTGTGTCACTAAATGACATGAGGTACTACACCATTAAAGCCAAAGGGTATTCGAAAGGTTCGTCTCTTAGTCTGTGCTTTTCGGTAATGCCTAGTCTTAACTAAATAAGTCATATCCTTTACTTTAAAGGCTATTTTATTGTAAAACTAATCGATGCAAAAAAACAGTAACGATACAATGTGTGCTCGCAGTGAAGGATAGACTGCAATGTGGAATTGCTAACCAATACAACACAAAGAAGCTCTACGTTCTTTTTCGATATATCGATATGTTATAATATAAAATTTATTATGCTAAAATAGGTTAAAAATGCTTAACCATATCAAACATGGTGTTTCTGCTGCTTTGAAAGTTTGATTCTTTTTTGGCAATGACATCAGTTTCACATGTCTCTGTACATGCACTAAAGTGTGGTAATGATATCTAACATGAAGTTGAGTAATGATCACAAAAAACAATCAAGCCGAAAACAAAGAAATCCGATAGAAAGTACTGTTGCGTATGACATTCATTTACAAGTGTTAATAGACAGTAGGTTATACAGTGAATGCAATTCGATCGTACGCTTACCTGTTACACCAAGAGAGACTATATGAATATGGATTCTATCTTTTAAAGTTAATGTACATCTGTATTCGCCTTTATCTTCCGATAAAGCGGGTCTCAAAAATAAACTTAACGCTCTCGGTTTTAAAAGATCCTAAGGAAAAAAACACAAAATTAATTATATGAATATTAAAGATAAGATTTTGTGTCATATTATTGTGTATACTTTCATTTGAACTATAATTTTGTTAGATACTGTTTATTTTAAGAATTATACGACTACTTATAATATAATCTAGTAGTATGAATTTTAATGTTATCATAAATGCTGTATACCACATGTGCAATGTAAATTCATTGTATATCAGGCTTATCTTCTACAACATTTCCAAATTATTTACTCTGATTGTGTCTTGCAAACTGGATAGTTAGTTTTTCCCAAAAGAGGGTAAATCCAGTTGAGATGTATGTTCAGAGTGAGAAAGCACAAGTTTTCAAAACAGCTTTTGACGAACTTGTATAGTTTAACCAGAAATAGTTTCTTGTCAGCCCTTCTTTCTATATATTATGTATGGTGTTTTTGATAACTAAGGTTGGCGAAATTGAGAAGAACATAAAATATGACCGTATAAACTGCCTTATAATTTTAGCAGCCTCTTAAGTCTGTTGCATTTAAACTTCCAGCTCGGAGAATACAACACAACCAAAAACTTCCAGTGTTAGGTCTGAAAGCAAACTACATTGTTTATAACGTAGAAGGCGTTTATTGAAACATCGGTAATATTTGCATAAACAGTCTGCATTATTAAATCACTTATATTTCACTATATACTAAGCCAGTTGTCAAAATGATGTCTAATTTATGGTTTTTGGTTGATAAGTATTGCTGCGACGGTTCACCAAGAAAATTGACAGAAATAGTTGTTAAGTGTGAGTAAAATTCAGTTAAAAATGACGTTCATGTATACGGCTGACGATAAGATGGATGATAACAACAGAATTCCAACCGTTAGGCAGATGAACTTTAGTTTGGACGAAGGTCCACAAGTCACAAGTGTTTCTTGGTTTTGCTCCATTTACCAAAGGTTTCGCCCAACTATCATTTGGATAAGCAGTGGACAGACGCCTGAAGTGAAATTCTCACTGGTCGGAAAAAGCATTCAGCAGCAAAGATGATGCAGTGGTTTCCCACCAACCTGAAGGGATTTGTCTTGAATCCTGTTACGACTGCGACATACTTTCAACTGAGTTCATCATAGCCTTAAGTAAAAAATCAGTCTGCAAAGTCTATTCCATCTGTTCTTATCCATATTAGGATACACATAATTTTAGGAAAAATACTTGCATCTGTTAACGGGAATAATTAGGAGTCATTGGTAATTGGGAATTAGTTCAATTTGTTATGCATTTCAATCTTATGATTTAAAAAAGAATATGGTAATATGGCATCATCATAAAAGTATGGTAAGTGTTAGTTATCGTTTGCCTAAAGATCAATTCTGAATGTACCGGCAACCTGCTTCCTAAGGTTTTGATTCATATCATAGACTACCTGCAATCTTCAAACCCTGTCATCCCAAAAATCCTGTCAGCCTACCGTGAAACTTTAGATAAATCAGAGTCAGGTACTCAAAATCGTGATAAGTTACTGAAAACTGTTAAATCATCTAACTTCAGTTCCACATACAGATTCAATAGATCAACAAAGTCAGGTACCATATGTATTCCAGCATTTGTGGTGATACGTCAGTTTAAATATATATGAAAAGATAAATGCACTTCTGTTGACAGGCAAGGTATAACTCCTGAGACATATTGCTGTCAAAAATAATTAAAATAAACCCAACAATACTATGAAATGGCTTCGAAAATAAAATAATCATGATACGACCTTGTCAAGGACTCAACCTCTCCACTGAACACTGTAGTGACTAGTTACTTTGGGCAGTTTCATAGCACTACATTTCATTCCCATATTTTACTTGTCTAAAGTTGCTGAAGAAACATCTTAGTTTACATAAATGATAAGTCTTTGTAGACCGTAAAATGATTCCGTAGCACTACACTACTACATTCTGAGGTAAAGCAAATCCCTTAAAATGTTATTTAAGTTACCTACTTACTGTTTTTAATATTACTGTAGCTTCCAAAGGATCTTTGAGGTAAAAATATTCATAATAATATATCTTGTGAAAACTACTTCGTAGGATGATCAGTAATAGAATTCTAAATATATACGAGTTTCCTAATTATACTATTCAGACAAGCCTTAGCTGACAAAGTGTTGTTTATGCGCATTATATAATAGAGGTCACTGTCTTGTATACCGCTTAATCAGTGTCTGGTTTCCACTTTATTCGTCATACGTTTTTATATGTGGTTTCAAAATCATAAAATAATATCGTATACCAGTCATACTAATGCGTTACAAGTCTAATTAGACTAAATACTGTTAACTTTCAAAACCAGCTTACCATTGGTGCTAGAAATATTCTAGGATTGTCTGCAACTCTGAAAACACCTTTAGTTAGAAGCTGTCTTGGCGAGCGAATCCACGTTAGTGCATCCAGTTCCTGTAAAAGTAACCATTTAGAGAGTGGAATTAATCAATATCCCAACATCATTTTACAGCCATAGATAGTTCAGCTCAAAAACATCTTTATAAAGCCTCGAATAGAGGTGAAATTTGTTAACTAACATTTCAAGCTAACTGTGCACATCCTTAAACAGTCTAAGTTCTAATGAGTCATCTTTGTTCTATTCTACACAAATACAGAACCACATTGTGATATATACACTACTCTTTTATTCTGTTACGAAAAAAGTGAAATGTAAATTTTGTAGAATAAACTCTGCAAGATAATGTTCACGCTGGTGCTTTTATGAGCAGTCAGATACAGTCAACATAAAGTCATATGTTTAGGTTCAGATTTTTGTGATTTAGTTGATCAACTGGCCTGTGTATAACGCTTCTGACCGCGTAATTGATGCAAGCTACATATAAATCAAGAAGTGTCAGCACATACATTGTACGGCTGAACGTCAAAGTATACAGAATTTTTATTTTACTTTAACTAACCGAAATTAATTACAGAACATGTTGACAGGCAATTTGATTCAAAATGCAGTTTAGTACTCTTAGAACACTGATCAAATGAGGAAGCCTTGAACTATGCACTTCCGAAGCTTTTATAGATTTTCTCAATGATGACTACCAACTTAGTTTCTCAAGTAAACCACTGTACAGTTCTACCTTATTCGTAATTGCTATTTCTTCACTGTTTATTCGTAGACTTCATGAGTTAGCCATTGGGACACAGATGTGTCAGGGTTTGTTGGATCTGAGAATGAAGTTTTAATTAGTACCATATTTTATTTTGTTGCATCGAATTTTCTCGTAGATCCTCTTTTCAGCTGTGCAATATCTTTGAAGGATTAAAAAAATCAGTCAAGTACAGGCAACTGTTATTCTAACACACCATCGTAGATCCAATATTTTGATAGTTACTACTGAAAATATCAAACAAACTGTCTGTCTGTTGTAAAGTGTGACACTCATAAACTGTTACTAATTTACTTCCAACCTTATAGTTACATGTATCATCTCACATATATATTGGCAATTTTCGTTGTAGTTAACTACTCCCTCATCTGCTGAACTGGAATTTTATGTCACTAGGAATTGTTTCATTTCAGTCTAAAGTAATTGTGAACTACTGGTATAACTTCATGTGGTGTACATGCTTTGCTAAAGAGATATAGTCACAGACAAACAGAAGACATATTACCTATAATTCACCTGATATATCCAGGACCCTTGATTTTCAGTAAGTTGAGAACCATTCTTCCCAATATACTCAACCAATCTGCATGACATTCAAACCACTAAACTGACAAAATTAATCTCATAGTAGTGCTGACTTCATTTGCTTTAAATGGGCCACACAAGAAAAGACAACCGTTTTAGCGTTTAAGATCGTTATACCTTTAACCAACAGCAACTTTTATCTCAAGATGTTATCTGTCAGCTGTTTAAAATCGTAAAAGTAACTGAGAGAAGTGAAAAGTAAATTTTCTAAGGCTTACACGACTGATTACAAGTAGCTACGAACTACCCTGGGCAAGATAGTCGTATAATAAAGTCAAAGGTAGGACATTTTTCAGAAATTTATTATAAACGCCCTCACATACATCTGAAATGACCTCTACTAAAGTTGTTCATTGATAAAATCGTATTCAGGCTTTACAATATGTGATACCCTAAACATTTTTGTTCATCTTGAAACTTTGATAAGTATCAGAATATTGAATACGGTATCAACCAACTCATTCATTCAGTTATCCTACAACTCTTTAACAATGACAGGTTACAATCCAACTGGCAGAAAATGATCACTTACGTATCTTACGAGCAGTGACACTGAATTATTCACTATGCACTAGTGATTACCCAAAATCTTGACATACAGTCGCGATTATGGGAATGATCTTCGCGTTTAGCATGCTACAGTACTTCCATCATAATTCCATACGATTACCGAATGCCTATTTATCGAAAGTATCCAAAGGGATTTTGAGTATTTTCACGAAGTACAATGGACCAGGGTGAAAATATTTGTCATCATTTTCAATAAAACGAATAAGACGTTTCTCCAACATTTAAGAAACAGTTTTTGTCATATTGAGAAGTGTTTGTACATCAAGTCTGAATAGATGTGTTCAACCCGCAAACTGGATAAAATGATAAAAAATATTTGCAGCTCATGGGGGTGATTTTGATAGTGTTGTGTTCTCTGATCTAGATGGTTTAGTTGTCATTCTAAACAAAATCCTCTGCATACGTTTTTGAAATAATTAAGCTATGGGGTTGTTTTCACAAGTGGCTTAGTAGGTTGACCCGATACCTTGAGTATTATTTGTTGTGTCTGCTAAAATTTTATCATTGTCTCTATACGTAACTTTAATATACCACCTTAAAAGGATTTAATATTTTTAGGAACAATCTTCACCAGTTGAAGAATGCTGGAGCTTCACAGTTTTGCTAGAATTGGAATCGATCTAAAAACGGTATGGCTTGACATCAAAACGATTTAGGTTTACAAATAGGTAAGGTAAATAGCTTAACACTGGTCAACAAAAAAACTCTTACCTTTCTGCTTACGACAACGTCTATGGGACATAATAATTCAGCTGTGGAACCATTTTTAACTGAAATAGTCATGTTTGTTTTATGTACACTCCGCGTAGCTTTGACTATGAAGACTGCCAAAAAAGCCAAACGTTAAAATCTCAACGTTAAAGAGTTTTATTTCTCAAAACATATGATTGATTAGTAGGAATTATAATCAATGAAATGTTACAAGATGAATTTTTCTGAACTTACAGTGTAAAAGGTTGTTATGTTCCAATATTTACTGTTGATAGATAAATACTGGCTGACGAAGACGTCTCAGTTGACTTTTTCTAGTCTGTAGCATTTCCAAACCCTATTAGGTGATTTCTCAGTTGAACTACGATAGCCTAGATTTACATTTAAGGTTTTGGTGTAATATTACTAAAACATTTAAGTCCCATTAAAAAAATTGGAAATCTTTTTCATAGTTTTATAGTGAATATTTGTTTCATTTATTCTAAAAAGCGAATGATAGCAAAAGAAGCACCAACGTTTCACTCAAGCGACTACTGTATTATGCTCCTGGTAGTTATTGTAATCATCCTTGGCCCTCATGACCCAATGACTTAGTGGATAACGCTCTAACATTTGAAGCAAAGGGTACTGAGTTCGAGCCTTACTAGGAACAACATCACTCACTTGGGTGCAGGTATATCCAACTAACGAGTTTCAAATGGGATGAAGCCTGAGTCCTCGATTTTTCTATTAGTCAGCAAGTTCAGTATAACTTCAGGTAGTTATTTCATCACAGACATTCTTTAGAGGTATGCATGAAGTCTTAGTGTAAACGCTGCACTGAATGGTATGATAACTAGAGCTAACCTTCATTCAGTCAGATATATCTTTTTGATATGAATCTGATACTGAGAAAAAACATTCCCAACTCTGTATATATAAATGGCTCCTTTAACTTGAAAGATAATGTGCTAAGTACGCAAAATTTGCTTAACCAACTAGTTACTGATGTAAATGTTTAGGTTTTGTGACATTAGCAAGCACTACCTTCTTTATGGATTCTCAGTTACTAACTACTGAAAATGATGAAAATTTGTGTGTATCTAAGTGTCTTTATGAGCGATTTAAGAACCTCTGAAAACGATTTATACTCGCACAAAGCTGAATCTCAACTGGAAATTTCACCTTAACCAATTATGAGATAATCACAATCTTCACACAGTAGTATGATGTGAGGCATTTGGTAAATCTTTTCACCTGCGGAGCGAAAACGTCTTTTAAAGATGTCAGATCGTTCATTTTTTCTTCGCCATCAGCTTTGCAGAAATGCGTACATTTGGATAAAATGTTACCTAATTGCAAATGAGATTAGGTGACGAGCTTTTAGATTTTCTGTTAAGATCATCATTCTGTCAGTACCTGCTTTATTTCACTGGCTTTAGTGACTTGAAAGAATTCTATCTATCTCCATTATACGAATTTCATGAAAAGCAATAGGTTTTGATTCCGAGGTTTAACCAATGGTAAGTATGTATGGGATACGACATAATAGCATGATAGTAGCTTCTTTAGGCTGGTACTTGTTACTGTATGATTTCTAGATCAATAGTTCTAATAGCACTATAAGAAATAAGTTGCTTAAGTTTTTAAATATGGCTCACTATAAAAGTAGCCAATCTCGCTGACTGGTCACTGGAGGATAACCAACTTCACATTTTTTAGTCCTAACTGCAGACTGAACTCTATCGATCATTTTGCAATGTGGCCATCAGACTAGGGAGCTCAGCATCGCGATGCACCCTGACAGATGTGAGTTGAATGAAGGCCGATTGGTGCATATTAATAGGTCTGTGTGAATACATCTGATCTAATGGATAATTCTTTTGTCCTATTTCTATCTGCAGCAACCACTTCATTAGAGGCTGCTGAATAGCTTATATTACAACAAGCAAAACACTTTCTTGGACCTGTTAACCAGAGGTTGGGAAGCACAAGGTATAAATTCTGTCTTTTGACAGGCTGTGAACAAAATGCTGTAGTAAGTGTGAAACGTTTTCAATCAGTTTATGGCTCTGTTTGATACCGAACTACTTTTTGCGACGATCAAAACTGATGATAAAAGTCTAGTCGTTTTTTCCTTTAGTTTTTACGTTAAATGTTGCACAAAGTAAAGTAGTGCTATTTGATGGGTGATGTTGAGGAAAAACATATAACTTTGGTATGAGTATGCTGTAATGCTTCTACCGAGAGGTTGTTATTCATTAATATAGCGAAATAGGAAGGATTTTTAAAGTTTTTACTGTAGTGTAGTGCTTATTACTGAAATACTTCAGGATAGATTTCCTGTGGTTCTGACGAAAAGCCGTGACTTGCAGTGTCATCTAGGTTGAACGTGAAGATGAATACTCATCGAAAGCATTGGATGATGTCCATTCTATATTGTGAATCAACAGCAGTTGGGAACTGTGGACCATTATATTTCTACATAGTGGCTGAGTGGCGACGTGTTAGATGCAAAACTTGAGGAGTCCAGTATTAGGAAAAAACTGATGTTCAGGACTTTTAGTTTTTAGTAGTTGTTTCTCTGTCTGTCATTAGTTCATGAATAATGCTACCTCGAAACTCTTCAATTTCTAAAAGAATTGCGACAGAACGCAGCTTTCCCAATAGAAAAATTATATGCGTGGAGAAAATAAACAAATAAACAAAGCCTAGTATCTACAATATCGATTCAACACTTCATCCAGATGCGGAAAAATAGTTACTCTTTAGAAATCTGAAATGGGAAATGTTAGAATATTCAAAACTGCCTCTCTTGACCATGTGACGACTTTGATACACATGTCGGCAACAAATTGTATATTGAATGTGGTTTATTACATTCTACCCTAACACTGCATTGGACTGGGTATCAAAGATGAAAAACGGTTCTCGGAGAAAATGCTCTTAGTGATCTTGTTATTTCAGCTGAGTAATTCCAGTTTTAAGCATTTTGATTGACAATATTTTGATAACTTCCATCAACACAATAAGGAATTCAAGAGTAGTATGAAAGTACATTGGTGTATTTTATAATAAAATCAATAACTTTGATCATAATATGTGAAAATAGTTTTCAAGATAAAGTGAATAATTTTTCTCTTATGTAGGCGGTATCGAGTTAATTTCCAACGTTACATCTAAGGGCATCAATATTTCAAAATACGTTTTATCAAAATAAAATAAAAAAGGTATTCACAAAATTATACTACCTAGAATTTAAGTAGATGATACAACAAAGATAATATCTAAAAAGATTTTAATCAAGTTCTATTTCCTACTCTTTATCGATCGGCATCTGTAAGTAGTCTTGTTCCCTTTTCCTAAAGTCCTATAAAGCTCAGATTTTGATTATGGAGACTTTTCCACATCATGATATACAAATGTATAGACTAAAGTTAAGGCTAAAATTGAAGAGAATCTATAACTAACTGTTCATAAGTGGGAAAATTGTTAACTATTGTAATGATAACAAGTGGTAGGTAGACATGAGAAGTTGGATAACAAAGGGGTTAACAACTAAGTATACGTGTAATGCAAAAACTGAAGGTATTACAATTAATAAATTGAGACTGATAGTGTCAGTAAGTGTTTATGAACAATAGTTCAGATTTTATAAGTTTAACAAGAATTGATTTTGCATTCTGAAGACAACAAAGAAGAATGCCATGAAACAGTTAGTCTAAAATCAAATAAATAACTGTGAATGTCCTATTTATATCTACAAAGTGGCTTATGCCAACTAGGTATACATCGTATGAAGCTTATGATTTCATCTGTTTCTCTTAGTAACTCAATCGTGAAGAAAGGAAGAAATATAATAAATATCCACAAACCTCCAGATAGAATTAATCTAGCGCTCATTGTTGACTAGCTTTAAGAGGTGATTCCTGAAGTTCCATTGAGAAGTCGTGACCAGTGGAGTCAACCAAGTCGAGTATGAGGATAATTACTCAACGGTGATATTGGATGAAGGTCGCACTACATCGTGAAGTGACAGAAATAGGAACTATGAACTATCATATTCTGACTCAATGGTGAGGTTTTGGCCACGGAACCTGAAGGTTCTAGGTTCGATCTCTGGAGGGGTTATGGGTGCGTACTGCTGATTAGTCCCATACTAGGGCAAAACAGGTGTCTAGTGCTTCCAGGTTTCCAGTTTTCCTTCCAATGATGTCAGTTCATGATGAGTTCCGACCTAAAATCAATTAATAAGTCTCCACAAACCTTCAGATGGAAGATAGCAATAGTTGGATGTTTATCCATATCAAATTTGAACAAAAGAAGAAATATATGTCCTTCGTATGTTTATATTCACTGTGATTTTTGAGTCGATTATGAGATTTCCAGCAAAACTATCTCCGAGCAAACGATTTTATTATTATCTACAAGGATTTTGAAGACATTTCCCCTAGGTAAGTAATTATTTTATTCACTGAGAAAAAGTAAAAATACATATCTGTCAACAAAATTAAAGAGAGAAAAACAATATCTCATAACAAAAAGTCTTCATATTTTATGTAGAAGTTAACTTTGTCCTTTTTTGTATCTCATGATTTTATGCCTCCCATGTTCAAAGGTAATATTCCACTTTTCATAATGCATCAAAATTAAAGTTTCTCTCTTTATCTTAAGTGGCATAAAATTCTAATTATGTGTGGGTTAGCTACAACCAAGGTGCTTAAGTATTCAAGATTTCATTAGGCATATGTTCACCCTTTTCAAAAAACAAACACTTTACGCACACAGTCAAAACAACCACAGACAACAGTTTATTTAATTCCATTTAAGTCTGTTTATTACAAATGTCACACAGTGAAACCGTAGCATATAGTGGATAACGTTTTGCACACAATTTATTGTACGCATTCAGATGATGTCATATGAATATGGACAATGAATTGTGTCGGAAACGTTATCGGGTATATGATACAGTTTCACAGTGACATTTCTACTAAACAGACTAAATGGAGTTATAATCGACCACAGTGCACAAATTTTACTCCTATATTTATTATTATTATTTGTCCCATGGGTTCCTAGTGGAACATAGGCATCAGTAGCACGTCTCCAATGCGCTCAGTTCTCTGAAAGT